ACAGAAGCCGGGGCCAGGAGAGGCGGGGGCCGTGCCCAAGGGCGGGTGTCCAGGGCGGGAGGCCTCGGTGCCCTCGCCCCCACCCTCTCCAGACCCCCCAGGGCCCCACTGGGCAGTGAGACGTGCCGGCCCCGTGCGTGGGGTGGGCGCTGGGCCAGGGACCGAACTTCCAGACACGTCCCTCTTTCTCCGCTTGCCTGGACTGCTCCGTTCCCTGGCCTTGGAGGGCAGAGGCCACAAGAGAGGCCTGGACACTGGCTGACGCCTAAGCTCGGTTGTGTGGTGCGCTCTGGGCACAGCCTGATAGAAAATTCTGGAACCTAGCTGAACCCTCAGGGTGGCCCAGAACAAGACTACAGGCCAACCCACCCTCACCCACCACCCACTCTCTCTGAGCAAGCTGGGATGCCGAGGCCGAACGCCCGCGCGGCAGAGCTGGCCTGCAAGGCCGTGCAGGTGGACATGGGCATCGTCGGCCGGCCCGGCTCCTGCCCATCGGCAGCCTGTGTTGGAGACAAGGGGGCGGGTGAGGCCAAGGAGGGCGACTGGAAGGCCACGGTGTGCAGCGGGGCGAGGAGGACCTGGCATGGGCGATGCGGCCCCCTCATGGGCATCCGCGGGTCCCGGGGGCCACACGATGACGCTGGGCACCCGCCTCTGGGTGAGGACCGCAATCTCGTCCAGGAGAGTGGACCCCGCAGAAGAGCCCCACCCCCGACACACACACAAGGAAGGTGCAGGATGAGCCCACCCCGGAGCCGTCTGTGCAAGGGCTGCGAGGTGGGGGACAGGGGGCTGGACGGAGGCCCCTGCCCGCTGGGCTGGGCTGGGACCACTGAAGACGATGAAGGAGGAAGTGGGGGGCGGAGTGGCAGGTGTCTGCGAGGAAGTGGGCGGCGAGAGCCCGAGCCCCGCAGGGCCTCCAGGACAGGGTGCCGGGCCTCCCTGAGCCCCAAGGGCAGCAGGAGGACATGAGAGGTGACCGCATAATGCCCGGTGGACGGGAGTGTGGGGGACGAGGAAGGGGCAGGCCGTAGATGGGAGTGGTGTCGCCCAGAAGTAGCTCAGCCTAGAGGGATGGTCTTCAGCCTGGGCGACATTGCCCCCCCAGGGGACAAATGTCTGGACATGTGCTTGGTTGTCACAGCCGGGGTCAGCTTCTATTTGGTAGAGGCCAGGGATGTTGCTCAAACCCTACAGTGCCCATGGCAGCCCCCCTGTGGTAAGGGGACATCGCATGGCAGGCCCGCTGTGATAAGGTGTCAGCAGTGCCACCTCGGAGCCCCAGGGTCTGTCAGACCTGGTTCCAGCTCATCGGCCAGTGTCACTGGCCTCGGGCCCTTGCTGAACCTCAGTCTCCCTATCTGTAACACAGGCACATGACCGCTTACCTTCGAGACTCGCGCGTGAAAGCAGGCCGTGTGTAAAGGCTGCCCTCCTGTTTTGTTTTATCTCGTTTTTTTTTTAAAGATTTTTATTGGGATACAGCTAACACACGTAGTGCCTGCGTTTCGAAGTCCTCCCGCTCTCATTCTAGGGCTGGGCTGGGACCGTCAGCCAGCGCCTCGCGAGGGCAGGAGGCAGGGCGACTGCTGGTTAGTTCTGCTTCTGGTCTGCGCCAGCAGGAGACCGGGTGCCACCTCCCAGCGAGCAGGGCCGAGACTCCCGGGGGGGACCCTGATCCAGCCCGAAGGCCCAGAAGGGAGGCGAGCTTGTGGGCCGGCCCCCATCCGTCCCGTGTCTCGCTAGTTAGGCCAGCAGCAAGCAGCTGCACCTGTGTGTGCGTGCGAGTGCCCATGCGTGTCTGCGTGTGTACGCACACGTGTGCCCGAGTCTGTGTGTAAGTGTGAGCGCAGTAAGTAGAAGAGGAACAGAGAACACAGGCTGAGGCTGGCAGCTGCCAACTTCCCCAATCCCAGGGACGAGGCGAGAGCCTGGGTGTCCCCGGGCCTCCACCCCAGAGCCTAGGGGCTGGCCGGGGCCTGGAGCTGGTCCAGGAAGGAGCTAATGATCAACCCGCCTCTCGCCACTGGCCCCAGGCGCAGGGAGGAAGTGGGGCAGGAAGCAGGGGGTGGTGGCCACCGCTGAGCAGTCGGCCTGGCCGGGCCGCTGCCGTCTGCCTTGGCCGGTGAGGCAGCCAGTAGGGCCGGCCAGGGAGGAGCTGGGAGCAGCCACCGGCGCCTGCTGTCCTGTGGCCGCCGGCCCAGAAGCTGCCTCTGAAGATCGAGCACAGGTACGAGGGTGCCGGGACAGGCAGGCCGCTGGGGACACTGGGGGCGCAGGAATGGGGGGACCGGCAGACAGGCGTTGCCACAAGCAGGGTCCTCCCGTAGTCGGATCTAAGAGCAGTTTCTACCTGTCACGTTCTTGAAGACTTTCCCAACATTTTGGGGGTCGGGGGCAGCACTGAAGCCAGAGAGTCTGGAAGGCCGTGGGCACTGGCTGCTGGCGGACCAGCCAGAACTCCAGGGATGCTGCTCGCGGGGCCTGGCAGGGTGGCGCCCGCGGTGATGTCAGATTCGATACAGCACGGAGGCTTCTGCCACCCAGCCCGACGCCCCCCCACCTGGGCACCCAGCCAGGGCCTCCGGTGTGTCTGGATGAGACGCGGAACCTAGCCAGCGACGAGGGACTCCAGCCTGAGGGGTCTCGAGTGGCCTGCACACCGTGTTGGCACCACGTGGGGCAGATGTCACAAGTGGTCAGCCTGGGGTGGCAACGTAGCCGTGACCTGGCCACTCCAAGTCACCATCTTGGGCCTCTTTTCCAGCGGCAAAATGGGACGAGCGCCTTGGCCAGGGGCACCAACCAGAAAGTTCTGGGGGAAGGGGGTGGGAACCCAGGTACGTGGTCTATAGACACCCCTGAAAGTCTGCGCGGGTCTCCGGTGCCCCCGCCAGGAGCCCCAGACCCCCAGCCCTGTCCAAGGGGTCTTCAGACCTTTGCGGTCTGTGAGGCTCATAGAAATTATGGCAGAGCCATGTCGGGCAGTCAGTGGTGCCGGCCGGTGCCGGGGCCTGGGGCTGCCTGCACGTGGGCCGGCTGAGCGAGGGCGGGGTGGCCTCACCACGCCCGGCCTGGAGAGGGCAGTGGGGCCTGTGGCTGGGGGCGGTGCACGGGCCGAGGTGGGTACAGGTGAAGGGCATAGGGCTTGTGCTCGAGTGCCAGGCTCAGACCCAGCAGGCGTCGAATGCAGCCTCGAAGTCTCGCCGAGCCTCAGTTTGCCAGCCTGTGAGATGGGCACGAGGCCCCCCCACCGACCCCCGTGCCCCAGGCCGCCGTGGGGATTAGAGGAGGCTACTTCAGGGTGGTGGCTGTCGATACGTGATCGCCACACGGCTGCTGCTCACGCACCCCCTCCCCGCCCCCGTGCTGGGCGTTGGCCTGAATCACTCCGTTCCCTCAGGAGAGTACCCCAGTGTGGGTGAGGGTCACCCTGCCTCACAGCAGACAAAGCCGACACACCGGGCGGCGGGACGGGCAGGCGTCCAGGGGCAGCCATAACCAAGCCCACGCGCTGGGCGCTTATACCAGAGATTTGCTCTCGGTCCGGAGGCCAAAAGTCTGGGGTCGGTGTCAGCAGCGCCGGGCGAGGCCCCTTCCCGCCTCTTCCAGCTCCCGGTGGCTCCAGGTGCTCCCGGGCTTGTGGCGGCATCACCCCGGTCTGTCTTCTGTCACCATGTGTCCTCTCCCGTGTCTGAGGGTCCCTCCTCTTCCTATAAGGACACAAGTCACCAGGCTCAAGGCCCAGTCTAAGCCAGGGCGCCCTCATCTGAATGTCATCTGCAAAGGCCCCATTTCCAATTAAAGTCACCTTTGAGCTTCCGGTGGACACCAGTACCGGGGACGACCAGACGAGCCTTGAGGCGTCTTCCTGGGGAGGAGAACGAGGCCTACACGGCCCTTCGAAGTATTTTCTCAGGACACGCCCCGTGAAAGCTCTGGCCAGGCCCCCCAAACCCGTGCCGGGCTGGACCGGCACCTCCTCTCCCCCTGCCGGCCCACGTTTGCTTCATCCATCGACCTCCTTGCGAGGCGGAGTTTTCATCCTCATTCTCCAGTGGGTAAACTGAGGCATGGAGCGGTCACCCAGGCTCCCTGGGATCAGGTGCCAGGCCAGGCTGCGGGTGGCCCCCCAGTTTGTCCCCACAATAAGCTGAACAAAGAGGATGAAGGCCAAAGGAAGAAGACCCCCCGCAGGGCGGCTTGATGCCGACGCGGCCAGCGGCCCCCGCCGGGCTGCGGTCTGGGCCGCCCCTCTGCGTCGGAGCTGGCGGCGGGCGAGGCCGGGCAAGGCCTACGGGAACCAGCGGGGCAGAAAGTCTCCCGTGGAGGCTGCACCCACGTCCTCGTCGCTGGGCTGTGTCTAGGAACCACACGTTCGACTGTCCCCAGCCGTCCCTCCTCTTGGCAGGTCTCGCCCAGCGGGGGGCAGGTTCCCTGAGCCCAGGGACTCCTCCTTGTCCTCCGGCACCCGTCCCCGAGCGCCCGGTGCAGGCCGGCACGGGGCGCAGATGCACACGCGGGAGGCAGGCAGGATGCAAGTGACCGTCCCGTACGTGGCACGCTTGTGCCCGGTGTCAGCTGTGACCGTGCCCGCCGCACCGGGCCCAGGCTGCCCGCCTCCCTGCCACCGGCGCTGCGTCCCCTGCCTGTCTGCTCCTGTGTCCTCCGGCTGGCGACAAAGCCCCCTGTCGCGGGAGCGCAGGCAAAACTTGGGGCCCCGGGGGCACCCCCAGGATAGGATAAGCCTGCCTTGGCCACTCCCTCTTCCCTGCCTTCGGCCACCTACTTCCTCCCGCCCGGGGCTGCCGGGGACCTGGCTCGTTTCCTGCCAAACAGGACGGGGTTGTCGAGAGGTTGTTACAGGAGCCACCGATCTCGTGGGAAGCGAGGCCGGAGTCACAGCTCATGGGGCGTGGAGTGAACAGGGGGAGGGGCGGCCTCCGGGGCCCTCGGCTCAGTGCTTGCTGGCGGGACGTGGGTGGGCTTGTCTCCAAGCCCCGGTGCCACCGCGTGTGACGGGACATCGCTGCCCCCTGTTCCCTCACGGTCCTCGCTCTCATGCACGGTCAGGTTCTGAGCAGCGGTCACACCGCGGGCTCTGAGCCGGTTGCTCGGGGCACGTCCATCTGCCGGGCCCGGCTGGCGTGGGCCAGACCACCACGCACACGTTGGCACGGGGCTCCCGCAGCTTGCTCTGGGCACCCGTGCTCGTTGCAGAGGGAGTGACAGGCGTCCGCCAGGCACGGTGGGGTCCTCTCCCCTGACCCCCCACGCTGGCGGTCACTCTCCCCTGACCCCCCACGCTGGCCATGTGGGTCCCAGGATCCTGTCTTCCCTGAGAGGCTGTCACCACCTTCTCTCTCCACAGACGCCAGCCCAGCATGTCCAGTCCGCGGTGCTGAGGCCACCGCTGCTCATGGGGGACCCAGTGGAGGCGGCCGCGGAGGAGCTGACCCAGATGGAGCGGGTGCCTGCGGGGCCCTCAGGTGGCAGTGGCAACAGGGTCCAGAGAGTGGCCGCCAGCTCGTCGGTCGGCTGGGAGCGAGCGGGACGCGAGGAGGCCACGGCTCCGGGCAGAGGCCACGGTGAGTGCAGCCTTCGGGGTCCACCCCGCCGACTGCCCGGCCCGGCCCAGGGCCAGAGAGAGAATGACCGCCACCAAGTCACTGGCGGCCGGCGCGTGCTTTCCAGGGGCCCGCCAGCCACGACAGAAGCGGCTCGCAGCAGGCGGAAGGCTCAGACCCGCCCTCCCACGCGCGCGGCTCCTGCAGACCCTGTGTGCTCACCGTCCCGCTCAGTCCTTAGGACATAAACCCCGATTCCTCAGGACAGGCAAACGGAGGCCCGAGGGGGAGAGGGGCCAGTGGCCGGGCCGGGACCAGAGCGGGGCTGGAGCACGATGAGCGGGCGCGCCGTGGGCCGTGGCCTCGTACCCTGCGGGAGGCCAGGTGGGCCGGCTGCCCGGGGACCTGGTTCTAATCCTGATTGCTGCGGGCCACTGTTCCCACCTGGAAACCTGACCGCTGGCCCAAGTGGTCTCCAGGACCCCCTCTCTGACCTCCTCAGGGGAAAACCAAGCTGTGCTCAGGCCCCTCTGCGAGCCAGGCTCCTGTCCCTCCCTAGGCATCCCCCTTCACCCCGACCACCTGCCTAGTTGCCCTTTGAGACTCTAGGGCTTGGCACACAGTAGATGCTCAGTAAATATTAACAACCGATTAATGATCGGTGCATCGGGAAAACAGAAACTAAACCGCACACGAGGAGCCTGGCCTCAGCCTCACTGGTCCATGCCTGGCAATCGGAGGCACTTGTATACCTGTCGCCTTGGTCCTTCCGGGTCTAGGTAGAGATGGGGAGGGCCAGGTGACCCTTCTGGGTGCCGACTCACAAAGCACCCCATCCCGCAGGCCTGGCCAGGAACGGTGGCGCTGTGGGGACCTGAGCTGGGAGCCCACCAGCGGCATGGAATCCGGCCCCCTGGGGGGCACGTGGGGGGGGTCGGGGGTGGACAAGGAGCTGGGTCCCGCCTCCCGCCTCCCGCAGGCAGCCCAGCCCGTGGTGGGGGTG